AAGCCTGCTAAAACACCTGTGGGTCCCCTAGATGATCGAGCTATAAAAGGAGCAATCAAGGACGATAAAGGCATTGCGGAGAAACTAAATGATTTCTTTGCTTCAGTCTTCACGGCTGAGGATGTTGGGGAGATTCCTGAATCTGCACCGTCCTTTGTGGGTGATGAATCTGAGGAACTGTCCCGGATTGAAGTGTCATTAGAGGAGGTTTTGGAACAAATAGAAAAACTTAATGTTAACAAATCTCTGGGACCGGATGGCATTCATCCAAGGGTTCTAAAAGAACTCAAATGGGAAATTGCTGAGCTATTATCTGTGGTTTGTAACCTATCCTTTAAATCAGCTTCTGTACCTAATGACTGGAAGGTAGCCAACGTGACACCAATATTTAAAAGGGGCTCTAGAGGCGATCCTGGCAATTACAGACCGGTAAGTCTAACTTCAGTACCGGGCAAATTAGTCGAAACAATAGTAAAGAATAAAATTGTGAAGCATGTAGAAGAACATAATTTGTTGGACAAAAGTCAACATGGTTTCTGTAAAGGGAAATCCTGTCTTACTAATCTATTAGAGTTCTTTGAAGGGGTTAACAAACATGCGGACAAGGGGGATCCAGTAGATATAGTATACTTGGATTTTCAGAAAGCCTTTGACAAGGTCCCTCACCAAAGGCTCTTGTGTAAATTACATGGCCATGGGATAAGAGGGAAGGTCCTTTCTTGGATTGAGAACTGGTTAAAAGACAGGAAACAAAGGGTAGGAATAAATGGTAAATTTTCAGATTGGAGAGGGGTAACTAGTGGTGTACCCCAAGGGTCAGTCCTGGGACCAATCCTTTTCAACTTATTCATAAATGATCTGGAGAAAGGGGTAAGCAGTGAGGTAGTAAAGTTTGCAGATGATACCAAACTGTTTAGGATAGTCAAGACAGAAGCAGACTGTGAGGGACTCCAAGAAGATCTCACCAAACTGAGTGATTGGGCAACAAAATGGCAAATGAAATTTAATGTGGATAAGTGTAAAGTAATGCACATCGGGAAAAATAACCCCAACTATACGTGCAGTATGATGGGGGCTAATTTGGCTACGACAAATCAGGAAAGAGATCTTGGAGTTATCTCTGAAAACTTCCACACAGTGTGCAATGGCGGTCAAAAAGGCAAATAGGATGCTAGGAATTATTAGGAAAGGGATAGAAAATAAGACCCAGAACATCTTACTGCCCCTGTATAAAACTATGGTACGCCCACATCTTGAATACTGTGTACAGATGTGGTCTCCTCACCTCAAAAAAGATATTTTGGCCTTGGGAAGGGTTCAGAAAAGGGCAACTAAAATGATTAGGGGTTTGGAACGGGTCCCATATGAGGAGAGGCTAAAGAGACTGGGACTTTTCAGTTTAGAAAAGAGGAGACTGAGGGGGGATATGATAGAGGTCTATAAAATCATGAGTGGTGTGGAGAGGGCTGATAAAGAAAAGTTATTTATTAGTTCCCATAATAAAAGAACTAGAGGACACCAAATGAAATTAATGGGTAGCAGGTTTAAAACTAATAAAAGGAAGTTCTTCTTCACACAGCGTGTTGTCAACCTGTGGAACTCCTTGCCAGAGGAGGCTGTGAAGGCTAGGACTATAATAGAGTTTAAAGAGAAGCTGGATAAATTCATGGAGGTTAGGTCCATAAAAGGCTATTAGCCAGGGGATAAAATGGTGTCCTTGGCCTCTGTTTGTCAGAGGCTGGAGAGGGATGGCAGGAGACAAATTGCTTGATCATTGTCTTCGGTCCACCCTCTCTGGGGCACCTGGTGCTGGCCACTGTCGGTAGACAGGATACTGGGCTAGATGGACCTTTGGTCTGACCCAGTACGGCCGTTCTTATGTAAATGTTTACAGGGCGAATCTACATGAAGATCTTACATTTGCATTTATAATTTTACACTTCTCATTTTAAATGTACATTTCTTCCTTACAGCCTACAGCCTGGGAGGCATCATGCTGGGACTTCTCTCCAAGTCCCCTGAGCCTGCCCAGCACTGCTGTCTCCAGGTGCTGGTGGTTCCCTCCCTTACTGGGACCAGCTCCTTCTCCCTTGCTGGTCAGGATGAGAGTGACCCTTCCCTCAGCTCTTCAGCCTTTTATAGGCCCCATCCTTGCCTTGATTGGCTAACTGCTCCTCACTCTGATGGAACTAGGGGGCTATGTCCCCTGCTTGCTGCACTCACCAACCCCCCTTCTCATGGGGGGGGGGGTAGGCAACCTTAGCTTCCACCATCACCACCAGGGAGAGCTGAACTGCAGCCACGCCAGCCTGGGCCCCCCTTTTTTCTTCCCCGCTGTGCCAGCCCAGGCCCCCTCTTATCCTTCCTTCCCCCTGGCCCACCCCCCACCCCAGTCCCTGCCCCCTTTCTCCCTCCTTCCCACCCTCTGCCATGCCAGCCCAGTTTCCTCTTCCTTTTCCCCCCGCCGCCAGGCAGTTGGTCCAGACCAAAGCCACATGCATCCCGGACTCCAAGCATGGGGGAAGGAAAGGGGAGTAGGCCCCATGGCTTGCACAAGGGAGGGCAGAGGGTGGTGGAAGGGTCTGCAGGGTGAAGAGTGATGCATGACATCACTCTGTCGTACCTCAGAAAAAGGTTTCTTTAATATAAAATAAGGAAAATAGTTTTACCAATTCTAATAAGGGTATAAGTATGATTTGGCGGTGTGGTGAAAGGTAAAAAGACTTCTAATATCTCTCTTCCAATGTTACCACATAGGATACATTTTACTTTGCTTTTTTCTTTTAACTGGATGGTTCAGGGTTAATGTCTATTCTTGCGGTTTTAGAATATGCTATTTATAGCGCTTTTTTTTTTTTTTTTTTTTTAAATCTACAGATCCTTCATGAAATGATGGAAGAAATTGACTATGACCATGATGGCACAGTATCTCTGGAGGAATGGATCCAGGGCGGAATGACGACAATCCCTCTCCTGGTGCTCCTTGGATTAGAGAATGTGAGCATTAACCTAGCAATGTCCAAAGGTCACTTGTGGGTCAGATGTGGCCCCAGAACTCATTTGCAACCTGCTGCCTCCTTCATCTTGCCTATGGAATTATGACATTCAGAGACTTTCCAATAAGTAGCTACTTCAGGGGGAGCAGTTGATCCAAGGATGGAGAATTATTTAATGAGATCTATTGTCTCTCAAGGCCACTGTTTCATATTAAGGACATGAACAGCTGTAATAGTATTAATTTTATATCAGTTAGATGCAGCTGTTGTTTTGTTGGCAAATTGTCAACGTCGTTTGCCTTCTTGCGCTTGAGCAAACATTGGGCACCTCAGTCTTAGCGCATGTTTCAGTTGTGTGATTTTGCTATAAAAATAATAGTTTTGAAAATGTTCTGTAGTATTTTACAGACACTTAAATGCAGATATTAAAGAAGTCCCTCCAACCCAAGTTAAATCTAGACTATTATAGTTTTGCAATCAGTTATATGATAATATTATGGAGGTCAGTTAAGCTGAGCACTTTCTGTTGCTACATATCATATTTATATAAGAGCTTTTATCACAAGATTTCAAAATTCTTCACAAATATTAATTGATTAAGCCTGGGAAGAAGGTATTCCATGGTAAATCTCATTTCTTCTTTTTATATATGTGGAACTATGGCACATAAAGTTACTTGTCCAATATCAGAAATGGGCTGCCCTTTCTCCTGGCTCATATTTCTAGAGTCATGGATAGATGCATAGATTTCAAATATAGAAGGCACCATTGTAACTGTCTAGTCTGGCTTGCTGTATAGCAAAAGCCGTAGGGTTCCCTTGAGCCAGCTGGCTTTATAGCACAAGCTATATAGGCCCATGCACAAAGCTCTAGGGCTCCCAGGTTTAGTTCTGTCTGTCGGTATTACATAGGCTAGTCCCAAAGCCAAGAGCTTAACACAAATTGATGGAGGCTTCTCAGGGTATGTCTACACTACAGAGAAGATCAAAGCTACCGTTGTCAGTCTTCCAGGGTTTGAATTAGTGGGTCTAGTGAAGACATGTTAATTTGAACTGAGACAGCACTCCGGTCAATGCTAGTAGTCCTGCTTCCACGAGGAGTAAGGAAAGTTGAAGGGACAGTGTTCTCCCTTCAACTTCCTGCAGTGTGGAGAGCGCCAAAAGTCAAGTTAAGGTAGCTGAAGTACCTTAAGTGCTTAGCTGAAGTTGAAGTTGTGTGTCTTAATTCGATCTTATTCCAGAGTATAGACATACTGTATGTGTCTTTCTACTATTACTGGCTCTGGTATCCTCTGAAAGAAAATGGTGTCTTAATTCATTGATTTTAAGGCCAGAAAGTACCATTGCGAATCATAACAAAGACACAGTTTCACCTTGTAATTTTTCTACTAAGGCAATAATGTATGGTTAAACTAGTCCATGTTTTTGAGAGACATCCCGTTTTGATTTAAAGATTAAGTTGTTTGAATGGTTAACTACCTAATTACCCTCACTTTATTCTCACTATGAATGTGTGTACCTTAAACTTCCAAACATTGGCTCTTGTTATGCCTTTTCCTGGTATGTTAAAAAGTTCTCTTCTGTCAATTTATACCAAATCTACCCAGATACCTTTATCACCTTTTCATTATATCTATAATGTGTTAATTCCCTTTAAAGAAAACTAAAATGCTAACATGAAAACTAAATTGCTAATTTAAAAACAACTTAAGATATTAAATCACTAACAATTCTGTTATTAGTCTATTTTACTGACTAAATGGCTGTCCCACTTGAAGGAATAGCCATCTGAAAATAGTTTAAATGCAATAAGGAACTATGTTACATAAATTGTAAGAATTTTAAAAAAGATCTCTTCTCTTTTTTTTTTCTTTCTTTGTGATTTAGCCCTTCACTTTTTTCTTAGTGCCTGATTCTGCAGCTGCATGGCAGGCAAAACCTTCACTGAAATAAAAGAGAGTTTTTTGCCTGTGGAGCAGCTGCAAAAGGAAGACCAGTAATTCTATTTGTCTGACGCCCCTTGCCATGACAATCAGCATGCTGAACAAACAATTATAACACAATGCAATTACATTTTAATTGCTAATTCATTATCTCTTGTTTTATACAATGCTTTGAAAATCTAAAGCAAGATGTGAATGTTGTGTATTACAAATATTGTTTTGTAATTTATATATTAAAAGACCAGATCTTTTAGAATATTGTGTCTGGTTAACCACCAGTTAACCCTTTAGCACTGGCTGAATGCTTTCCCCTCAAGCATCATATCTACTAAAATTATTCCTGTTAAACACCAATAATTACTACTTAATTTGCTTCCTTTGGAGATATGACTATAGAGTAGTTTTGGTTCTGACTAAGTGAAAATTCAGGAGGTTTTGAATGATTAAAAAAGAGAGAGTTAAAGTGGAAACCACCATGCAGCCTTAATTGTTGATGCTACTTCCACCACTATGATAATTTGCATCTACTTTATATAGAGCTATCCATACGCAGATTTCAGAGTGCTTTAACAATATTAATATATTAAGATTCACACCAGCACCATGAGGTAGCAAAGCATGTTTATCAATCTCTTACAAATTTATCAATCTCTTGCAAATAGGAATGTGAAGAACAGACAATGTAAGTGATTTATTGAAGATCACAAGGAAGTTTATTGTAGGGCTTCATCAAGAATCCACATCTTCTGGCACCTCAAATGAGTCTACACTTAAAATGCTACAGTAGTGCCACTGTATCACTTCACTGAAGATGTTACCATTCTGATGTGAGAACTTCTCCCTTTACCATAGTTAATCCTCCTCTTCAAGGGGCAGTGACCATGTTGATGGGAGAAACCTTGCTGTTGATGTAGCAATGTCTGTGCTTGTGAGCCTGATGCAAATCACCATGGTTAGCCACTCATGCCTGAGGAGGCACAGGTATAGATAGTGGCAGCAGCCCACTAGGGGCTAACCATGGTGAACCGCCTCCATTTTATTGTCCATCCATAGTCTATGCCGTGGCTTATGTCAGGATAATGGCCTTGCTTAGGTGTGCATTTTTCATACCACTGAGTGATATAGTTATACCAATGGATGTTTACATGGTAGACCTGTCCCTAATCTGCATTGAGTATCTAGCTGCAAAACTCTTTTTCCATTTATTTGATAGTATATGAAAAGTTTTAAGAAATCAAAGGTGCAGAATGTAGTTATTGGCCATGTGTGCTGTTCTGATCTCGGCCAGTGATTTGTAAAGTCATTTTCATCTTCCTGACTACTAAGACCAATTAGGATTTGGAGTAATCTCTGAAGTGGAGTGGTGGAAGTACTTTACACGATAGGTTTTTTAGATGTGACAGTGCATTGCTAAATTCACAGGTCCAGACAGTGTAGGAGAGCAAAAATTGGATTGTGTCTCTAAAACTTTGTCCTGTCTTTGGCTAATTTGGCCATCTAGAACAAGGATGGGGGAAAATTTGGGGGGTCAGGAGCCATTGACCCACAGAAAAATCAGTTGGAGGCCACACACAAGTGAGAAACAAAAAAACCAAATACCAACCCTCATAGCTGTTGCCCCCAACTGAGAAAGAGAAGGGCACTCCCCACATTCCCTTTTCACACCTGAGTCTGTGGGGCCCAGGCTAGTAGATTTTGTATGCTACAATCCTGTGGCAGGATGGGAGGGAAAAGCTGGAGTGTGAGTGCAGGCTCCCCAATACTGGGGGGACAGCCCTGAGCCTCAGGGGGCGGATCTAGGCAAGCCGGGGGGCCACATCTGGGCCCTGGGCCCGAGGTTCCCCACCCCGATCTAGAAGCTCAAGCACTGGGAGACTTACTGAGTCTGTAGAGCTGTTTTCCCTTCCTCCATTTCTGTTTGACCAGCATTCTACTGTGCAATGTGTATTGATACCTGTAATCTTTCTTTGATCAGTGGGTATCATCTGAGATTCTTTGCTTAGTAATCACCACTTGCACAATGTTATTAATCATTTAATCCCAGGCCAGCTCCACACTTTTGTGTTACATTCATGCTGATCAGTTGATTCTGGTTTCTTTGTGGCTTCTTGCTTGTGACTGAGAGGAGAGCCATTGCTGTGCCCAGGGTAAGCCCTCTAACTAGGGCCTTGATAATTTCTCAGTTGGGGTTAACTTTTTCATGTGAGTGCTCCATTACCAGAGCACCCATGGAGTTGGCACCTATGCATCTGACCCATCCAAGATCCCACCAAGTTCAGATACCTCCTCATTAATCACCTTCTTTTGTTCCCGTGTGCTGTATATAAGTCCAGGCGAAGGAAGTTCAGCCACAGGGAGATTTCATGTAATTTTGAGACTATTATTCTTGCCCTTATTCAGATATCTGAGCAGAGTTGCAGTGGTTGGTGTCCAGTTAGTCCGAGGAACTCTACCTGGAGCCACAGGCATTGTCTGGGATACTCTGATCACTGTCCCACACTAACTAGTTTTCATTATATCTTTATTCATCTCCCCTTGACTGCACTTTGGATTTGTCACCCAGAGTCAGTTTTCACCTATTTGTCTTTGGCTCCACACCCTGGCAAAGCAACAGATACAAAAGCTGCAGCTACATTGATCAGCATCCCCCTCAATATGCTTTTTAAGATCCAGTGGTCCTACACATGCCTGTAACATGTGGTGTACTTCATCTAGTGCACTAAATACCACAATCACTTTATAAATGACCTATCAATCCTCATCCTCAAAAGGAACCCTGCATAACACTTTTTCTAAAGACAGGCCTGAGAACATACATTCATAGCTCTGCTCGACCCTAAAAATCATGGACTGAATAGAGACATTGTTTTATGGCGTATTACAACAATTTGCAACTTCCCTTATTCTTCCCCACACACATTCCAGATGTTTCTCCACCCAGCCATCCTTTCCTCCTATGTGATGGGGCACTTCATCTTGAGTGGTCCCTTGAAATAAGTGTTAAATACATATGCTAAACAATCTGTTCCTTTTTCTTTTTAGCAGCAGCACTCTGATTA